TCCATGGGCGCAAGCTTTTGGCATCGCCGCCGGTGTCGTTTCCATCACGCAAATCAGGCATCGCCGGCGGTGTCGTTTCCATTTGCGAATCAGGCATCGCCGGCGGTGTCGTTTCCATTTGCAACTCTGCAGAAGTGCAATCTATGATATAATGTGTGGCGCAATGATAGTCTTCCACACCGCTCCACACCATTATCCCTCATATTGTGGCGCGCAGTTGACATCGTTGGCGATGTTGGAAGTATCACGTGCCCCAACCATGCGATACAAACGACATCGTTGTATGCGCAAGACATGTTCGCTGACGCTTTAGTGTCGTCTGTTGAAAACAGTGTCCATAAGACATCGTTGGATCCTCACGGTACACCTCCTGATCCAGCAGATCTTCCTTTGGATGCGGAGGGCCGACGTTGGAATGTCACACATTTGGTTGATGGGTTTTGCTCCTTACAGTATGCCATCCTTTCCAAGAACCCATCGTCTCAGACTAGCGCAGAGCTTTTGTTTGAACGGTGGATCCTCATCCATGGACCCATGAATCAGCTCACCGTTGATGGGGGCCCAGAGTTTCGGGGCCAGTTCATTCCTTTGTGCAACCTCTATGACATCTGTTTGAATGCGCTGCCTACTTCGGCCAAGTGGAAGAACGGGACAGCTGAGCGTCATGGCGCCATCCTCAAGCTCATCCTTCTTAAGATGGTGCATGAGATGTCTTTGTCCAAGGAAGCTGACCTGAAGTTTGCCTTGGCAATGGCCGCGCAGGCAAAGAATGTCGTGATTCCATCATCACTGATCGACCAGGTGGACAAGGGAGAGATCCGGTTCGCCACGAACAGTCAGCTGGCCATGCAACAAGAACAACAGAAGATGGAGAGGATGCGACGAGAAGCAGGTGCAGCTTTTCATTGGCTGGATTCTCATGAGCGATTGTGAGTGGCCTTGAATAGCCGATCCAAGCCACCTCACCTCAAAGCTGATGCCTTGGCTCCTGGTACAGCGGTCTACTTCTTCAACAGCCTGCGCAGAACAAGAGAATGCAGGACTATGCCACTGGATATCAGGGACCTGCCATTGTCGCATGTGCTGATGGGCCATCTCGACTGTGGGTCCGGTACAAGGGGTCGGTGGTACGTGTCGCCATCGAGAATGTGAGATTGGCGACGGAGGAGGAGGAGGAGGTTGCCACATCCTTCATTCGTGAAGCTATGGCTGAATTGGAACATGAGTTGACTGGAGGTCGGCGTGCACCAGGCTATGAAGATCTGGCGGAGGAGGAGGTTGAGCCCGGCAGGGCGTCCGAGGCTCCTCACCCTGGTCCACCCAGCGAGGCACAGCCCCACTTCGGCAACTCGGTGGATCAGGCAGAGCAGCACTCGGCGGCCGCTCCGGCTGCTCCCTCGACGGTGGAGGTGGTTCCACCACAACCTCCTGCGCAGGTCCCAGAGCCGACCAAGGAGATTGTGAGCCTGGCCAAACAGTCTGAGGATCGTCGCCGTCAATTGGATGGTCTGCCACCCAAACATCGAGCAGGACCCTATGATCCCGTGAAGGCGTCAGTGCCACAACGCATTGCCTTCTTTGAACGTGGAGGGAAGGAGGACACGTGGCAGTCAATCTGGGGTGATGTTTCATCCAAGTTGGAGTTGGCGTCGGCATCACATCTTCAAAGATTTTCAGCTGAGAAAGACGCACAACATGTACATCGTGAAATTCAGGCCGGGCTAGAACTCAGCGCTCGACAACGAGATGAAGGGGGAGAAGCTATGCTCAAGTCTCAGCGAGTGGAGGACATAGCCTCTGAACCTGGAGTAAGTGCCTTAGCTCCCCTAGTTGCTGACGCGCTAATGGCATCGGAAGCATGGGCTTTGAAAACATCCACATCGACACAGGAGTGTGATCGCCTCAGGACTATGCTGGAGACCTTCGACAATGATGCTCGACAGATGGAGCGCGAGCGAGGTCATCGCGCTGGACCGGAGCCAGGAGCTCGTGGCGAGATCTACCTCAAGGATATGACGCCAACTGAAAGGCGACTTACAGTTCCAGCGCTGATCAAGGCCTTGGAGATTCATTTCACCTACAAGGCAGTTGATCTCGAGCCGGTGGCCTTGGACCAGTTGATCAACAAGGACGACACCTTGCAGAGTCGCTTCGTGATTGTCAACAAGAAATGGTTGCAGCGGGAATTTGGGCCTAAAGGTCGCCTTTGTGTTGGTGGGCATTTGGATCCACATGCCGGGGAGTATGCCACTTCGTCTCCAACTGCTCAATTGCTGGGCCACCATTTGTCGCTGGTCATCACAGTCAACATGCGTTGGCGTGCATACGGCAGAGACATCACTGCAGCCTTCTTGCAGGGTGAACCACTGCCACGAGATAAACCTCTCTACATTTGGTTTCCAAAGAAAATGCCTGAAGAGGTGCACCAATATGTAAGTCAGCAGCTCAAAGGCTATCGAGAGGACGTGGTGCGAGCGGTCAAGGGTGTCTTTGGTCTCAACGAATCACCACGACTGTGGTACTTGGGCCTTCGCAAGCACCTCCAGCAACTTGGCTTTAGAGAAATGACCTTGGCCCCATGTGTTTTCACTCTTCATTTGAAGGGTGAGTTAGTTGCCGTGGCGACCGTGCACGTTGATGATGTGCTTTTGGCTGGAGGGGAGGTCGCAGCACCGCTTTGGAAGGAGCTCCAGCAAAGGTTGACCTTCGGTAGCTGGGCGCCAATGAGTGATGGTTTGAAGTTCTTAGGCAGGCACCTGAAGCAGGACGTTGAGACCTTTGAGATCACGACTTCCATGGCAGAGTACTGCAAAGATCTTGTTGAAGTGAAGGTGCCCTCCAGTGAGCGTGATGCTCGACTTCTGACCGAGGAGGAGATCAGCACTCTCAGATCCATCAATGGCAAACTGAGTTGGGCGGCAAGGCAGAGTCGCCCTGATGTGTTGTTCTTGGTTTCTATGCTCCAGAAGAGTATGAAGGCTCCTCAAGTGCGACATCTGAGGATGGCTAATCAGGCCATCAAGCAACTCCAGAAGGATGTGCCGCTGAACTTTGTGCAGCTTGGATGCGGCCTCAAAGAGTTGCTGTTTGCGGTGGCCACTGATGGAGCTTATGGAACTATGCCAGAGGGCAAGTCTCAGCAAGGCTGGTTGTGTGCGTCCGCTCATTTCATGTCCCTCCTAGCCGCCTGATGCTCTAGTCATGTCCGCGTAGAAAAGATTGCCCCTTCGTCCGTTGGCCACTTCAAGCTATACAAGAAAGGAAAGAGATTTGGAGCAAGTAAAGAGAAGAAAAACGAGGTAGCAATTCACTTGAATTTCCGAACCTCAGCTCGGCAAATGCTGCATACGCTTATCCCAGGTCAATTGCAGGAATTGGAATTTGAGCAACATGTTTGTGTGAAGAAAAAACCGAGTACAGTATATATATATTCAAAAGTGCATGCCGACCCCAGCTCTTGTGGAATGACGCTGCACAACCCAAGTAATTACTTCATACAATGGACTTCCGCAGCGTTGAACCAGCCAGATGTATATACCCACTTTGGCCACGTGCAGGCAGGTGCAGGGCTGTTTGTTTCACCAAGAACTGGAAAAGAGTTGAAGTTTGCCATCGTCAAAGTCAGCAACCCAGCTGTGCCTGCCCTATGTCAGATTGCACAGGTGGCACTGGCTTTGATCGACATGGGTTCTGGGCAAAACCTTCTGGGTCTCGTAGTGCAAAGGATAGCAGCGCCCGTCTTTGTTAGCAGCTAACCACACGCGAATTTGCCATCACGGTTTTGCCACGTTCTCATGTGGTGTGGTTCGTAGCCGCGCAAGGAGGGGGCAGTGTTAGTTGTGATGAGCCTGTTCGATGTGTTCATATCGACGTGTTCACATCATCATCAGGTATGCGCAGGGCTTGATAAGATCAAGAGAACCCACGAGAAAACGCCCTCTCATATTTTGAGGACAAACCATGCTGAATTGGCAAGGAGCATCGGAGTCTCATCCAATCATGGGGCTGCGCCATTTGTAGTCGTAGGGGCCAGATTGGAGCCGCACCGGCTGATGGCCAGGCGCGAGTTTCATTAGGTTCCACGCTTCACATCTCCAGCAAAGGCTTTTGTACAGGCTGCAACACGCTGGACAGAGTTCTGGGTGACGCACAGCCCTGATCTTTCACTCAGCAAATCCCTTCGGGCCACTGTGGCATAAACCGCAATGGTGCACTTCTTAAAGCTCAAGTGTCAAAAACATCAAGTGCTTCTTGTGTCGCAGCTACACTCAAGAATAATCCACTCATGAAAGGGCCTTGATCGAGCCCTCATGACGATCAGCAAAGGAGCAAAAGCAGCAGCCTGAAGGCCAGTTTGGATGTGTAACAAGAAGATTTCAGTAACATATTTGTTTGAAGAACGATGAGCAAGCGTATCCCCGAGTACTCCATACTAATATGGCTTTTCACCTCATCAGAACCGCCAGATGAGCCACTTTTAGAGCTCATCTCATGCCTTTTGACCTAAGTTCCTCCAAGAAAAACAGAGTATAGCACTGTGTACTGCACTATAAATTGGGTGCCACCAGACAATTGGCCGCAATATCCACACGATGTACCCACTTAGGTGCAGGGCTGTTTGTTTCACCAAGAACTGGAAAAGAGTTGAAGTTTGCCATCGTCAAAGTCAGCATCCCAGCTGCGCATGCCCTATGTCAGCTTGCGCAGGTGGCACTGGTTTTGATCGACGTGGGCTCTGGGCAAAACCTTCTGGGTCAGCTTCAATCCATCGTAGTGTAAAGGATACCAGCGCAATTCTTTGTTCGCAGCTAACCACACGTGAATTTGCCATCATGGTTTTGCCACGTTCTCATGCGATGTGGCTCGTAGCTGTGTCGCTGCAGTCTGTTTGGGGCTGCAGCACAAAATCAATCTCGTTTGAGGCCGTCCGCACAAGGAGGGGGCAGTGTTAGTTGTGATGAGCCTGTTCGATGTGTTCATATCGACGTGTTCACATCATCATCAGGTATGCGCAGGGCTTGATAAGATCAAGAGAACCCACGAGAAAACGCCCTCTCATATTTTGAGGACAAACCATGCTGAATTGGCAAGGAGCATCGGAGTCTCATCCAATCATGGGGCTGCGCCATTTGCAATCCAGCCGATTGCAGTAAGCAATTACCAGTGGTAGAGGCCAAGGTCCGTTCTTTGGAGTTCATTTGACCTTGCTAGGCACCCTGCACAGAGTTGTAGGCTCTAGTCTTGCGAGCAATGGCCTTTGAAGGCCATAGTGTATGTAGGACAAGCAGTTGGAAACAGCTCAAGTACAAACCAGTTAAGTACAAGCGAGATCAAGCGAGAAGCTATTCAGCAGGAGGAAGATCACTGAGACACTTGTATTGTTGCGCTGCTTGAGCTGCGGGCTGTTGTTGATTCCAATGCGTTATAGAGTTGGAGCGTTGCAAAGAAATTCTTTGCTGCAAGCTTTGGATGACAATATTACGTTTGGAAGCAACTTGGAAAAAGGGACAAGACCGTGTAAGGGAGCAAAACCCTGGTAACCATGGGTCATGAGTCATGATGGTGAAATATTCTCCCGCGTGCAGTACTCAAGCCGTTGCGCTCGCCTTCCACTGGCTTTCCAGTGCCTTGTTTGTCATCCTGTTGACTCAGGCAAGTCAGAACATGCTCAGCTGGGTTCAGGGGTTGTGCGACAGAATGCCGACTCTTGCAATGAACGTGTTTGTCGACGTATCTATATATATGTATATAATGTGTATATATATATATCAATGTTATTCAATCGATTCAATTTCCCCATTAGTCAACGAGACTTAATTAATGTCCACAACTCTCCATTCGTGAAGGTTGGCCCTCGAAGTCTTGGCTTTTCAGTACTTTCCCTTGAACCTCTACTCATCTCTACTCTACATGTTTTTTGTGTTTATCTCGAAGCTTATACTGTTTATATCATGTTATTGCTATTTGTACTTTTGCTCTTATATAGCCTCGATATTCGTGTGCTTTCCTCTAGACTCTAGAAACCTCTACTTGCTCAGAGCCTTTTCGATACGTCTCTCTCGGAATCTCCTGCTTTTTAACCAACCAGTGTGGTCACACACGAGGGGTTCTTACGGTGCTCCATCGGCGTGTCCGGCTAAATCACTGCTATTTACAGTACACTCAGTCACCTTCAAATCTTCGAAGTGCATGTCCGCCTCGCAGAAACTGGTGGGCTGGAACGGGTGCTTTTCTCGACTGCGCTCTCGTTCTGACGCTGTGCGCAGTGGCAGGTTCAAAGGAAACCTCGTGTTGCGGCGGTCCAAAGTCCAAAGTCGACTTATCGTGGCAGGCGCAAGAGATCGGAGCGTGCTTTTACATCGATGTGCAGATTTCCTCACAAGTGCAGTGGCTTGTTTTCAGAAGTTGGGGGGCAGTCTCGAGCTAAAGCAGCGCTTTGGCAGTTGGCGGCGCTCTTGCTGCAAAACGCCTTGGCAGCGCTGCACGATGTGAATCTTGATGTGCAGATTGCGTGGCAGGCGCAGGGCTTTGTGGACCTTGAAGCGCAGATTTCGTGGAGGCAGCGTTTTGTGAGTTTGAAGGTGCAGACTTCGTGGCAAAAGCGGCGTTTTGTGAACCTGGAGGTGCAGATTCTATGGCAAGCGCAGCACATGTGCTCTCATATGTGTGCTCTCACGCGTGTGGCGTGTGGTAATTGTATGTGTGTTCACGAGTGTGCTCTCAGATGTGTTTCGCTTTCAGATTGCTTCTGTAAAATCTCCGCTCTTCTTCGCCTTTCTCTCGAAAACTCAATGTTCCTTTGATCTCAAAGTCTCTACCTTGCTTGGTTTTTCTTGCGGAAACTGTGTTTTTTAAATTGTTCTCGAGAGTTCTACCTTTTAAGTACTCTCCTTTTGTTTGGTACTTAGCCGTGATATGCTATTACGCAGAGACGTTGAATTTGAGCGGCACTTTTGAACTGAACCGTTTCACGACGCAGATTCCTCAGACGTTTTGTTTCAAGTCACCGGCCGAGCTCACTTGTTGATCGTCATGGCACCGGAGCCTTTGTCCAGAATTGAGCCCTAATTTCCCACGATTCCTTTGATCTCTCTGGTGGTATGATTATGTCAGGTTGAGTTTGGTTGAATCATATCAGCCCCGTTTCACCTGAAACAATATTGCTAGGTATGACACCAAAGGTGCCAGCCAGATGCACCTTCGACACATTGAAGTTTTGCCTGGCTAGCAAAGTCAGAACTTTGGGATACTTTGGGCATGTATGGATGCCCGTTGCGGATTGGCTTTTGAGGAGATCTGTGGGTTTGCCTCGATGCAGCCCTCGCTGCAGCCGGCAGACTTGACTCTGCATGACATCCGATTCCAACAGCCCCCCAGAGCCTGCGGAGCGTCCTGGAGCATTTGTGGGAATTTACATTCATATTTGTGATTTAATTATCAAAAACGCGAAGAGATCACGAAACATCTACGCCATAGCAACACAGTGATCGAACAATCAGTTGATATAGACATATCAACAGTAGAGCTAATTTGCGGTTCATCCTAGAAACCTTTAGGGATGTTTATCACCTCAAATCTGCCCTTGCACTGTAGGGTTGACGATGGGCCGGACTTTGCACCATGTCGGAGGGACGAGCCTCTTGGCTTGCATGGAGCTTAAGTCTGACACGGAGTCAAAATCTTTGCTGATAGTCTTTCGGCGCCCAACGGTCACTCGCATTCATGGATGTTCAATTGTTTCCCAGGTTAAAGTTCAAGGGCATCTGCAGTAGTTTGCATGGAGAGACTCTGCGAAGCTGTGTCATACAAGTTATAGCGTCCGTTTACGCAAATTTGCAGTGTGTTGATGCAAATGTATGCAAATAGATTGATATGTGTATTATTAGGTGCATGTTGCCTTTGCACATTGAAGGAGTCAGCCCCAAAATCAAGGAGATCAAATCAATCTCTAGCACGTTCTTTCGTGTAGCGTCCTCTGACCTGGGAGATCTTGGATTGAATTAATCTGGGGTTCATCCCAGAAACACCTCAAATCGTCACTTGCACTAGGCTTGATGATGGGCCGGACTTTGCACCACGCCCGACGGACGAGCTTCTTGGCTTGCATGTAGCTTGAGTCTGACACAGGGTCAAAACCTTTGCTGATAGTTTTTGGGCACCCAACGGTCCCTTGCATTCATGGATGTCCGATTGTTTAGAGCCGTTTGGCTTTGGATGCCGGTTGGCTTGGCCCCCACAGAGATAGATTTTAGCCAGGGGGCACCTGATTTTCAGACCCAATGTCGTGGCTAAAACGGTTGAAAACCTATGCTCTGGCTAAAATGGTTTGGATTTAGGATCCTGATGTTGGCTACCACCCTTTTGTAAGAGAGATTTTAGCAACATCATTCCTGTGAAGAAAGCATGGAGTGATGACATGTTTTTTGGAGGCTGATGTTGTATCCCTCCATTTTATATAGGATGATTTGAGCCAAAGCTTTGTTGAGAAGACTCCAGGGATGTGTTTCAGGGAAATCTACAGGAACACATTGTAAAAGTGTTTTATATAACACTGTTCAAAGATTGTGTGCTAAAATGGTAAGGGCCAACATGCAAGCAGGTGGACAGCAGAAAAGGTCAACAAACTGGACATTAATGTTGATTCATCACCCCACCATTGTTTGCTGCTTTGTTGTGTTTGGACCTGACCTGGGAAAATATTTGCAGCTAAAGTGGCACAGGCCAAGATTCCAAGCAAAAAGCAAAAGCTGAGGACATACCTTAAAGAAGGGACCAAGACCTGGTGAGCGTCCCTGGGGGCATCCCAAGGAATTCCTTCTTCAGATTTGTGTGGTGGTCAGCACACAGCAAGTTGCAAAGGCTTGGATAGAGGCCAAGCTCAGCAAAAAAAATGTGCGACCAGAGCCTAGAAACAGAGACTTCCAGGTCTGGAATCCCTCTGAATTTATCTAGGGCTTGGCTAAAATCTATCAAAATGAGGCCAAAATCCTGAAATCTTGGATATCCCTATTTCATCCGCACTTTGGAGGCTAGAATGGGGTTGGCTCCTCGGGTTCCAAGGTGACTTGGTATGCCCAGACGGCTGTATTGTTTCCCAGGATCAAACTCCAAGGGCATTTGCAGTAGTTTGCGCAAAGCAACAGTGATTTTGCGAAGCTGCGCCACACTTTCAATCACTTTCAGCGCAAGACTTACATACATACTGAATGATGAATGAAGATTGTGACAAGAGCATGATTCAACAGTTCGCATAAAGGGAAAGAAGGAAGCAAAGAACGACAAATGAAGAAGGAACGAAAATGGAAGGAAGGGAGAAAGACGGGGAAAGGAGGGAAGGAAGTGAAGGAAGGAGTGCAAAAAGATCAAGAAGCATGTTTTGCGAGAAGACCTTCTTGTCTTTCTGAAGGTCTTGGATGTTTTGTTGCAAAGAAGACCTTCTTGTCTTTTCTCCGCACCGAGGTTGCGTCCTTTTCGGAAGTCCTTCGAGTCTTGGACTCGATACACCGAGGACTCTCCCGAGGCATCGCCCAATCGGTTTGCTCATGAAGTCTTCTCGAAGGATATGAATCACTTTATGCGCCTCGTCCCACAAGTTGGAAGACAAAGAACTATTCTGACAAGGTTTACTTTTGTTAGCCCACATCAAGCGAGAGTGCAAGAGTATGTAGTCAGCCGGGGCCACCAAAGGTAAATCTGCATGTGTCAAATCATGCGTTGGAGCAACCCATCACCGTCACCTTTAAAAACTGCGCTATTTGCCCAGGAAGCTTGTCAAGAAGAATCCCACATTTTTAAAGCAGCTCAATTGCACTGAAAGCTTGAGCAGGGACAGCAGGCATCGTGAAGTGTAGGGCTGACAAAGTACCTGGACGGTTTCTTCGCCCAGGGATAGCAGACCAAATACAGTGTTCAACTTTAGCATTGTCACAATGTGTGTGTAACCCTTGGAGTCACAGGGATCCTGATGGATTTGTTTGTTTTTGGCAGGGGGCTGGAGTGCGCTTCAGATGTCTCCAGCCAACGAAGACGCATCTGTTGCACTGTGATATAGTTCTGGGACGCCAGAACTACGTACCCTCGTTCCTTTTGTGGTGTTCACAAGCTGTGACTCTACTCTTCCTTAAAGGGCTAGTGCACGCGGCAGACAAGAGCGCACGACGTCATATCGACCTGATCGTCCTTAGGTTGCCGTGTGGTGAGCGGCATTCGAGTCAGTACGCGTGTCAATGAGTCAATAAGTGTGTCTCTCCTCAGTGAGAGCCCAGGGTGACCCCGACGAGTGGCCCCTGTGGACCCGTTGAACGGGGATTTGTCGAC